ACACTTTAAGGTATTGGAATACTCTAAATCCAATTTGTCCAATTACATCTTTAAGGACATGAACCCCTATACTTTCTTATAAAAGAAAATACATTTGTTTGAGTGGGAGAGGACAAACATTCCTTATACCTCCTACATTACTCCGCCCAAAATCTGCAATATCTCTTTACTATTAAAAGTAAATTGATTAAAACAAATTGTGCTGGGAGATAAAGTGATCTGGTTCCAAATGGACATCAATGAGAGAATGAAGCGATAGATGAAGCGAGACATAGTAGTTGGATGGATTCAGTTTGGACTGAGCACCATAGGACTGATCTGTCAGATCTAAACCAAAAGACCAAACGAGGATTAATGCTAATTTATATGATGGACATGTTCAGCAAATCTCTGGATTGGGATGAGGACGGTGTTGGGGAAGTTACACTAACATTGTAATATACATAAATTATTACTTATATTTGTAATAAAACATTATTAATTTTAATAATGCAACTGAGTTGCGCTATGTTGAGCTATTTTGACTCACTCTAAATATCATATTTATAAATATCATCTTTGCTTCCTCAAATAATTGCATAACTGTGAGAAAGAAAATGAGCACTTCCAATACATGTAACTTACTGTACACTTGTTATTGTGATTGTATAAATTACTAATTCACACTCATTACTCAAAACATTACTATAATAATATTACAGAAGTTACTAGTTACTCGCAATACTGGACAAGGGACATATACTTAGATCTTGGAGGTCGTCCGGAGAACCATCTGGATCCAAAAATGTATTTTTAAGGAATGGAACAGCACCTCTTGGCAGAGGTCTCGGCTCCACGAGTGCAAATAGTTACCAAGAGTATTGGGGCCAATATCATCTGCAAACAGCAGAGGTGAGACCCTGCGGTCCACAAATGGACCACCAACCTCTGGCTGCTTCTTGAAGGGTAAAAAGAACCGGCATTGCAAACACAGCTGCTGTTGGTAAACGGTTCTTAAAATAATAACAAATTTATGTTTACAGACAGAAACAATAAAAGGTGAGGTCAAAGTTGGGTTCCAGGCTTCATCACTCCACATGGCATTGCCTGATATACTGTATATCCTGCACATAATGATCCAAAGTGGCCACTGCACAGAAAAGGACCTGGACCTTTACCCTCAGCCTCTTTAGCAAACAGTTATGGTGGGAGTTTGGGGTTGTGACTATTTGGGAATACTACCCTGTAAATCATTTTATATTTGTAATGTCTTTGGAAATATCTTTGTTTTCTATCAGATGTTTAACTAAAATATTAGTTAGCACTCTCCTCAGTTCATTCAGATCCAGAGACAGACGACCTCATAGGTCAAGACCTTCTACGGCTGATTAAAAACATTTCCACCAGCCCACATGTTTGCAGAGGGTCGTGAGAGACATCCCCTCTTATCTCTCCCTTTGCCATGACCTGAGGAAGCAATAAGGATGAGTATTAGATGAAAATGTGATTTGATATTTCTTCCACAGACTCAGTGGTGTCAAATCTGGCTTAGGGTGCTTGACGAAAGATAATCCAAATCTGAATGAGTGGGCGAGGAAGATAAACATTCCTTACCTCCTACACAATGCCCAAAATCTGCTTCCTCACAATGCATTTCTCAGCTTAAGTGAGCATCCCCCATGAAGCCAGGATAAAGATTTCCTTTCAGAAGCCACACGTGTCAGCTCCAGTTCAGATACAGCCCTACTGGGCCCTAACTGGGTACATTATATCCACTTCTACTGCTCTTAATATACTTTAATAAGACCTGTTCTCTATTAATTCTCCCTTGAAACCGGTAGTAACACGGCTACTAGGCGCATATAAAACTGAATGAATGGAGCAGGGTTGCCAGCAGTCTAAAGGGGAGAGCCGAAATCTTTGTGGATTTGTCCTCACCAGCTGGCTCATGAGTCCAATATAATGGCTGTGCCCATGGCTCTCATAGTGGGAAAGGAAATATTTGGGCAGGCTGTAAGCATTAACATGTTTAAGGTCATAAAGCGCATGCAAGTCACATCCTGAAAAGAACGACATAGCTGCTGCACTCTGCACCACAGGTGAACAGGGACAATGGCTTTATGTGCAAAGGCATGTGGAATATGGCTCATATCTTCTTATGGCACCCACAGGGTGAGCTGCAGGTTGGTCTGCTCCACGTAATGGTGATAAAACCTACCACACCTGTTGCTGTTCACCCCCTCCGACTCCAAGGATAATAAATAATGACTATTGCTGAGTAAAATATTGCCCACAATCTGGATCAATTAACTGCCATGGATGTGATGTGATAAAATTTCACTCTACCAATGTGTTTTCTGGTTTGTTTGTGATGAACTTTGGGTATTGTATACACAATTACACATAATACATATTAATACACTGTTTGAGTTGAATAATCTTGGGCATTTTTTAATCATCCGCCAATGCTCCATTTATTTGGAGTGATTTTTGTCACAAGGTCTCATTAACGCGACACACATCCCTGCGTACACTTAAGACTCCTATCACCAATCCATACATTATGGCTAAGGGCCCAGTGGGTCATTTCCTGTTTGTGGTTTCACTTGTTGTGCCTTTGAAGCAGTTTTTAATAATAGGACTCACCAGGGCCTAATGAAAACGCTGGCTGTTAGATTAAAAGGGAGATCTCGTCTGAGCCACCTAACCGCACGCAGCACAAACAGTCGAGCGCACATACGCAGTTTACAGAAGTGGTTTAGCTGTTCCCTGTGATGTGTGAGTGACTGCTAACCCTCTTGATAACACAGACACTTCTCCAGCTAAACGAGTGGTCAGAAGGCAAAGGTATATTGGGTAAAATAGCAGTGGTTCAGTCTTTTTCCTTTTATTTTTCCGTTGCAGACAGCACAATGTGGGTCATTAAAGGTGGTCGCGGGCTTAATGAATCCACTTCAGTGCCATTGCTCTTTCGGTCTAATCCCTGTCGAGTCTGGAGCATTGATAGTCTGGCCTACTGTGGATGACATCTGCGATTCGTTCATTAACTTGTAACCAACAGCAGATGTCTTTTAAAACATAGGACCAAGCACATATCTGCCTGTTTTATATGCCACTTGAGTCTCAATTAATTCTCAGTAAACCTCGTTGGAGGTAATGATAGAGCATTCTTGGTGCAATGGAGTGTACCAAACCGGCTTATCTTCTTCTTTTGTTGTTGTTGCCCACTTTTACTTATTATGCAACAAAACAAAAATAGCAGATGTAGCTTTATTTCTCTTGAAACAGAGAAAAGGGTTTTCATACTTGTACGTCATGACACTGTCGTCACACCGGTGAGCCGTCACACAAAAACTTGTGTGCATCCGATCCATAGATCTCATCACTGGAAGGTAACACACAAGCACTATGATGATCACTGCTGATGAAAAACGATGCAAACTATACAGTGCATGCATGTGGTCCAAGAGCACTGCTTGGCCTCAGTTTACACACTGCATTGATCACAGTATTGTGATGTATTGTATTGTGCAGAAAACTGTGCTTTGAGCCTGCCACTGTGTGTGACTTCAGTCATATATGTGCAGATGTTTGCTTCATGTTTTTAACAGCGCAGACAGAATATGATTCAAACAAACTGACTCTGCATCTGCACAAAAAAGCAGACTTTTGTCTGTTTCTGGACTGAATACACCCTTCGTCTCAATAGATGCCCACTTTGCTGTGTGCTTAATTCAGTTTCTTCTGAGCCCCAGTTGGTCTGAGAAAATCTTCCATTCATAATTTTTGGACAGTGGCCAAAAATATACATGCAAGATGGGTCGTCTTTGGTCTTGCCACACACTGGTATGATTCAATAGATTACCTCATAGAGAATTAAACCCTTCTATTAAGCTGCCGTCACACACGCTGTTAAAAGCAAATAGACTGTGTCCAATCCTTCAGTTTGAAGGAGCATGTACTGCGTCTGAGATGGATTTAACAAATGTTGTTAAAATTGCAAGAAAAAAATATTTTTAGTATGGAAAACTATTCTGGTCTGAGAAAAAAAGTCATTGGAATATAAAAATATACTTAAATCCAAATGCAATGCTTTTTGTGCACACTTATCTCACATGAAACCCACATCTAACCATTCACCATGAAAAAGAAGAAAAAAGGCTCTTTGGTACAGTCACAATGTTTTTTTAATAAAACACATACACTTATGCAGTCCTATGACCATACATTTACTCAACCTTTTTAAACCTAAAGTCTGTTTATTACTTTTAACTCTTCAACACATTGAAATCAGTAGATGAGGTCAAATAAATCACTCACTGTGACGTCATACTTGTTAAAGATATGCACTGGTATAAGGAAGTCTGTGAATATTTCAGCATATAATAGTAACAGCATGTGGCAAAACTTTCACTGAACAAAAAAGTACAAAATAGAATAGAATTAATAAATAAATCAAATATATACCATATAAATGGAATAGTTATGTTGCGGCTATATTTTTAACACTTTTAAATTGTAGCTTGGTATTACAACCTTTTTTTGTTTTCTCTGAAACTTTTAGAATGGTGAAAATACAGTAATAAGCTTTCATTATTAGATAAACTATGTACAAGTCATATTTATGCCATGCTAGTCAGACAACTAAATTATTCTTTGTATCCACACTATACAGTTAGAGCATAAAGCGGTCTGAACGTAAACAGTTTGTGCTGATAAGAATAAAATACTTTGCATCTATGCATGATATTTTTCACTTTTAATATTACTCTCTCAGAAATGTACATAACACAAAAGGCCTCACATGGGAATGGTCTCGTTTAGCACACAATTGTCAACAGGGAAGGCGAGCTTTGATATAAATAAAAAGTCTCATTAAGTTCAAGATGCCTTTTTCAGTCCTTTAGCATCACTCGTGTTTAGCCAAATATCTGGTTACCATTTCATCCGCCATATTATTCTTGGACCTCCCCGTCCTCCTCTCAGCCCTCTCTTCTACAGCCTGCAGTCTCTGTCTTTCATCACTCTTGGACGGTTAGCGACAACGTAAAAGGCCCATGTCGAGGTGATGGAGCAGGGGGAGGGCTTTGGGCGAAGGTCACCTGAATGGTCACTGCGTCTGGAGAAAGCAGCATGAAGCGCGTTTAGTGATACCCTACTTTATGGATAAATACTTTAGTGACCTAGTGTCCTATAGGCAGTGGGGTGGCCCAGGGCAGGAGTTGGGCCTTGTAGACAGTCAGGATATGGGTGCAGCAGTGGCTAGCAGCTTTGCATTGGTTGTTCTTTAGTATTTGGGCGCTCCGGAGTTGCTCTCTGCTCACTGACTAGAGCGGACAGCAGCCAGGTGGTCAGTGTGTTGGTTGTGAGCCCGAAATCGCAGCCGCTGCTTCTTCTTCTTCTTCTTTTCCTCTTTGGATGGGTGCTTCCCCGAGCCCCCTGGGGACAGAGACACAGGATAGTTTATATCAGCAGCACAAAACATTTACTTCATCAAATTAGGCTTATTGTAAGGTTCAAATGTTGTATAATGGAGGGCTCTCAGTTAAAGTTAAAACATATGAATACATTAAAAGTGCATTTGTAAGATATACATTTGCAGAAGACACATTGAAAATATTCATTCCTTGCATGTCTCCACACCAACACTCTGCAGTGTTTGCTTAGTGGATTTGGGAAGCAGATATCTCTCGGAAATTACATATCTGTCACCTATCCCAAGGTCAACACAACCCAGGTTTGACTGAGGCGAAGCAAAGCAATCTGGGAACTCCTGCTTGTGTGGTGGAGTGTGATCTGCAACCATAGTTCTTTTATGACAGAGAGAACTCAGACTACTGAACCACAATGCAACAATCTGGCTGCCAAGGCCACAAATAAGATAACGAGGTGTGTGTGTGTGTGTGTGTGTGTGTGTATGAGGTGGAACGAGTGTGAGGGAATTTAAGGGAAAGTAAGTCTAATGGAGGAAAGTGGAGAAGGCCTTGAATGATGAGATGCTATCTGGATCCTGCTGTAGAGCTCAAAGAACAGGCCATGCAAAGAGGGAACTGCTGCCTAATTCACCACAATTACTGCACTTGTTCAGATGGCTACTCTCACGAAAAGTAACTCGCTAACATTGCGTAAAATTCCACGATATATAATGGGGTTCAATTAGACTGCCATGGTAGAGAGCCTCTGAAAAAAGCAGTAGGAGTCCACTCGCAATAATAAGAAAAATCCCGCACACCACCAGTCCTTTGCAAAGACAACTTTTATTGAAACATTTCATATTTTTGACTTCAAGCAAATAGTCAAATGTCGAGTTTCTATTGATAGTGGTGCATTAATTATGAATCTACTTGCGTTGGAGTCTGCTGATATCTTGCACATACAGTAGCTCCGGAGTCAAAACAGTTTCACATGGGGGAATTTTTGGTTGTTGCACAAAAAACATGAACTGAGCATAACTTTCATTTGTACGCCCTATAGGATCAGTCTGGCCTTATGATTTTGAGGAAACATCATAAAAACAGTGTTGCTAGGTACCCACAAACATGCATTTCAGAGCAATCAACTCTCCATGAATTACACTGATGGCTGTAAAAAACATAGTGTGGTGGGTGAAGCCCTGCTGGGACATTTCTTGGACACGAGGTTGTGTTTATGAGGGTTAAGTTAAACATGAGTGTTCCTGGCTACTCCACGACTGGGCAGGAGATCAGTAATGCACTTTTTTTTCTCTGTCAAAAACCTGCCAACACATGTGAACAGCAGGGAAGCGAGTTTTTCAGAAGCCCCAGTGCAAAGGGCAGATGGAGTTTACCACAATGGTTTCAGGTCAAAAGCAAAGGTAGTATTTTCTCTTTGCACGCGACACAAATAACTCAAAATGTAGGTGTAAGGAAATGTTTGATTGGAAATACTGATAATAATTTATTTTGTATTTGACGTAAGTTCTTATTGCTGACAGCTAGAGGGCAACCATTCTCTACGTTGTAGCCTGTGACCCAGTGATCGTGGTGATGTCCCGTCATATCTGCAGAAGGCTTCACTTGGTCTTCCCTTGGGGCACCACGCGCAGCTTTCATCATTTTGTGGTATTTACGACCAATGCATTCACTTGGGATGATTAACCAGGGTTCACAGAAGGAACTGTTTATTTTGCCTGGAAAGAAGTGATTAACCTATCTACATAGCTTTCAAGACCAAAAACAAATTTATAAATCCTTAAGAATGTACACTTTGGTCTTGGAAAGGCAAAGTTGGTTTATTTTCTTCGTATATCAGTGTCATGTATTGTTGTGCCACACATCTGGCATGGTCAGGTCTTTCAAAGAACAATTATCAAAAATCACAAGCTTTCCGTTCTGGCAACAGAAAACTGTAATTTTGAAATGTTTTGTTCAACACAAACATTTTCTTTGATACAATTGGCCCCACTCAGCTTGACATTTGTACTCAAGTTCACGATAAAAAACAATCAAACAGTTTTATTGTTGTGTTAATGTTACCAAGTGAGAAGTTTGCACTGATATTCATTTGATCATGTGCAGAGAATGTAGTCTTCAAGTTCTCACTCTTTTGATGGGTTTTTATTAGTCAGGAAAGATCCCAAAGACCCCATGGCGTCCAATACCATTACATCACAAGGACATAAACGCCAAGATTTGGGTCTGCTTTTATAATGGTTGTAATTGTTTTAGGGGCTGCAGATTAAAACAAGCAGAGAATAATATTAATTACATGTACAATCCTTTGAATTATGTGTACAATACTTAGTGAGATAGGTTATGTTATTAAGCCAGAGGTTATGTTGTCTCCAAAGATTGTCTGTCTGCGTGTCTGTCTGTTGGAAATAGATCCATTAATCTTCATAAATCATGTAGATCCTCATAAGGTCTGAACAGTCTGATATCACTGGATCTACGTGATAACCAATAGTCACAAAAAGGTTATCTTATGAAGTATTTTTGCAAAGATGCTTTCTCTGTTAGAATATTTTTTTATGATGTAAAATCAATAAGTGGCGCTTGATAAACAATGACAAGTCTGTTCTAATCTCCTCAAACAACTGTAGAGAGCAAAATCATATAACTTAAGATTCACTGCAGAAGACCATTCGCAATAACGCCTCAAAGCCAGGGAGCTTATTCAGCTTCTTCTCCTCTCTCAGTGACGCCGCTTTGCAATAAAGCAGCATGGTGAAGGTCCAAGTGAGAGTTAAGCACTATTATACATATCATATTATTAGGCCAAAGTAATACCTCCCTGTGGGACGGGAATAACGACTGATCCAACTGATGCACTGGAAGATAATCAGTCAGTCGTGTATCTCAGTGGAAAAGAGGTCAGCACGAAAGCTCTCTTCATCTTTGGCAAAGCTAATATTTTTGTTTTGGAAAAATGGACCCAACTCTAGAACAAAAGCTTTAGGCAAATGTTTAGATTTTGTTGAAAAGCAAACAATGAGGTTTATTTATAAAGGGTTTGTGTGTGATTAGCACCGCTTCATCATTGGACTAAACTGATTTCTGATGCACCGTGCAGCTAGGACAATACCCGCAAGAGTTTGAACCCTGGATTGATAAATATATGCCCAAGCAATTTATCAGATCATAATTGAGACAATATTAACTCATAAACAGAAGTAAGAGTCATGTGTGACAAATGAGAATGAAGGAATCCAGCCTTAGTTTGGTGGTTTTGGACTAGCAACTGTAACAAGAGGGGTTTTCACTTTTTGGCTTTCAACTCACCTTTCGACCTAGTCTTTCTGAAGTTTTTATTGTAAACACAGTGGCCAAATATAGCAGTAATTTAGTTTAACTGTTTTATCATTAGGGCTGTTGCGTGTATAAAATGACAATGTTCAGACTTTATAGTAACGAATTCCCTTTAGTTAAAACAGACTTGACTTGTCAAGGGGCCGTCGTCTCAGAAAGTAAAACTGTTTTGACTCGATTCAGGCTGTGTTGACCTCTTAAAGTGAGGTATGACACGCCCATATGGATTCATGTTTGACAGAGCTGAAGTTGGCTGACTGACAAATGTTTATTTAATTTCACAATAGCGCCATATATAGTATTTTGTGACACAATCAAAAACAAATAGTCAACGGCTTGATTCTAAAGATTTACAATGAGGTGTAGAATGTCTATTGAGCTGAAGTTGGCTGGATGACACTGTGAACTTGTGTTTATGCCTGGATTAGGCTAAAGACACAGTCACCTTAATGAACAGGCTGTAGTTTGCACATGTAAGAGCTTATCTTGGGTTTTTACTCAAGAATGAGCTCTGGAGTCTTGACTGAGCACCTTTTCTTTTCTTTTTTACCACTTTTACCTTCTTTTTAACTTATTTTCTTTACTTATCTGTTGTGTTTTTTCGTGTAGATGCCAAGTCTTTCTCTTTTTAACTGCAAAAGAATCTACTCATGGGTACAAAATAATTCACCTTGGACTGTGAAGTTGAATAATGTTTGTGACAGAACAGAACGGAGACATTGTATAATCTCATTACATGTATCAATACCATGTGTTTTGGGGACGAATACAATGTTTTTCTCGTTTTTAATTCATCCAGACACACGGTTTTATGAGAACACAGTGGACCACTGCATTTTAACTGGCGAAAACTATATAATGCGTGAAGTGTGAAATGAGTCGCATCGCACTGATATTCACCACATTTTATCACAAGAATAAAGATTAAAACAGGGCTTGCTTTGTGTCCCCATTGTATCTAAATTCTGCGACAAGTTTGAGCCTTCTTGTAGGCCTGTCCTCCCAACATGGAAGTCCAACCAACTCTGCTTCTTTTAACTTAGATGTGCAATGTGAGCTTTACCCCTTTTGACCTGAGTAAATCTTTAATGAGCAAAACATGGATTTATGTTATTGTATATTAGCCATGGCAGGGAGTACAGTATATAATCACAAAGGCTGTAACCTGCTAATAAAGAAGAGAAGTGCAGCTAGGGTCTTACTGGGGCCAAGTGATTTCATCCACTCACGGTTCCAGCGGCAGCGCATGGATTGGATGCATAATCTTATCTCCATAGCTTGAGGTTTGTGAAAAATCAATGGCTGACCTCGAGAAGACATTAAGACATACGGTAAAAGGGATTCTATACTCTCCTGTTACCTCCTGAAGCGTATACTGATGCGGGCAGTCAATTAATAACCTTCTTTTCTTGGGGCAAAAGAGGTTAAGGTGGTGAAAAATCAGGGTAATTTTGGAGAGGATATATGACAGGAATTTTTGAGGATAAAGCTGGAGATTTTGGCGGCACATTGCATTTATAAACAGGCCAAAACAGAGGCCATTATTTGTGAGGGAAGGAGAGAAGTACTGGCGCCAGGGAGATTTGATTTCAGTGAAAGAAATTGGATTAGCAGCCATTAAGGGCCTCCTCACACATACATTTATAACGCTGCGAAGGGCCGGCTCGCCCA